TAGAGTGCATTAAATCAGTTGGGGTAGCAATGAGGGGTGTAGATAGGGAAGGGGTTCTAAATATGGTCAAAATATATTGTATTAAATTTGCAAAAATTCAATTAAAAATTGTAAAAAGGAAGAACCAAACCAATAAACCACACTACAAAACCCAAAGGTAAGGGATCCAGCTCAGCGATAGAGTTCAGCATCCCCCCCCAACCCCCAGTTTCATCCCATAACAGCAAAAAAGGATCATCTTTAAAGAAAGATTTGTTTTGTCTCCTTATAAACTCATCAAACCAATTTCAGAAACACCAGACATCAGGAATCCAAAACAATGTAGAAGATTTCTTCTTTAAAAACAATTATTGACTAATGGTGGAGAACAAATGTGTTTGTAAAGATGAACAGCAGTAAAAAGCAGTGATCTGGAAAATGAACCCAGTGAGGAAATAAATCCTGAATTAAAAGTTTTGAGTTGGACACACATAGCGAGAGGATGCCCAGCCAGACGCGAGCCTGGAGATGAACTTACGGGCAGGAACCCACTGCTTATGGGCCAAGGGCATCTGCACTTTTAGGCGGCTCTCTGGCCATTGAGTGTGTGTGCACTAATGTTGCAGTTCAGAGCAAGTCAGACTGGACTAAGATTCTCAGAGGGTAGAAAGACGATTTATTTTAAAATGAGATGTTTCCTCACGACCCAAAATAAGCTGCACAAAAAAATTGAATTGACTGAGACAGAAGCACAAAGCAAGACTGAGTGTGGAAAGAAGTTTCCTGGCCTCTGTGTGTCTGTGACACACTGTTAGAAAAGCCTGGTGCACTAGCACACAAGACCAAGTTTATGTACATGAATGATACAGGAAAAATCATAACGAAGCTCGCCATATTTGCAAGTTTATTTGTAATAGATATGGTTATTTTGTCCTAGAAAAATCTTATGCTACTTGGCATACAACATTACATTCTTACAAGACAGTCTTTAAATCTTTTGTTAATTTGAAATATTGAAAACAGTATTTCATTATAGGTTGATCATGCCAATTAAAACTGAGGTTGGCTAAATTTCCCACGTGTGTAGTGAATATTATTTCCCTTCTTTTGTATTGTGTGTGTATGGGTGTGAGTGTACACGTGTGTGAGTGTACGTGTGGGTCTATGTGTGCATGGAGGACAGAAGACAACCTTGGGTGCTGTTCTTTAAGTTCTGTCCAGGTCTTTGGAGGTGGGGTCTCTCATTGGCCTGGCACTCACCAAGGAGGCCGAGCTATCTGGCCTGTGAGATCTAGTGATCCACCTGACTGTGCCTTTTTACCAGTGGGATCATAAGTGTATGCTACTATGCCCATCTTTTTATGTGAATGCTGGGAAGGGAATTTGAGTATTCATGTTTCTAAGTCAAGCACTTGAACCAACAAAGTGGTTAAGTGATTCCCCCAAACCCTCATATTTTCTTTTCTTTCTGAAAAATATTTACTTTCCATTTTCATTTTATGAGTGTTTTCCTGCACACACATGCCTATGAAGTCCAGAGGAGGCTTTCACACCCCATGGAACTGGAGTTACAGACTGTTGTGAGCTGCCATGTGGGTGCTGGGAACCAAGCCTGGGTTCTGTGCCAAAGCATCAACTGCTATTAACTATTGAGCCATCTCTCCATTTCTCTTATCTGGTCTTTTCTAAAGTGCTTGTTCATTTGCTCTTTCACCAGGTTCCATATTTTTCTTAAAGTTTTTAAGTGTTCTTTTTGTATTAGATTTTCTCTCCTTACCTTACATTGGACATAAATCGGTCTATCACTTGCCACTGAAATGCAGATGTATTAGTTTTCACACTGTCCAGAATCTTTGGTATCTATCTGACAGAATGTGTCACTAGCTGTCTTCATGGCTCTAGATATATTTGTTTCCGTTCTGTTTCTACCTTACCTAAGAATTTACCTTGGCCATATTGAACAAATCCATATAACTCTAAGCCATTTTATTACAGATTTCAAATTAACCTCCTAAAATTCTTGATATAAGCAATTAATTCATCATTTCTTCTTTTCAAGTGTGTGTGTGTGTGTGTGTGTGTGTGTGTGTGTGT